ACCACCACCACGCCATCACACACCACCACCACGCCCGCCATCACACACCACCACCACGCCCGCCATCACACACCACCACCACGCCCGCCATCACACACCACCACCACGCCCGCCATCACTCACCACCACCACGCCCGCCATCACACACCAGCACCACGCCCTCCCCCACACACCAGCACCACGCCCTCCCCCACACACCAGCACCACGCCCTCCCCCACACACCAGCACCACGCCCTCCCCCACACACCAGCACCACGCCCTCCCCCACACACCAGCACCACGCCCTCCCCCACACACCATCACCACGCCCTCCCCCACACACCAGCACCACGCCCTCCCCCACACACCAGCACCACGCCCTCCCCCACACACCAGCACCACGCCCTCCCCCACACACCAGCACCACGCCCTCCACCACACACCAGCACCACGCCCGCCACCACACACCAGCACCACGCCCGCCACCACACACCAGCACCACGCCCGCCCCCACACACCAGCACCACGCCCGCCACCACGCCACCACCACGCCCGCCACCACACCACCACCACGCCCGCCACCACACACCACCACCACGCCCGCCATCACACACCACCACCACGCCCGCCATCACACACCACCACCACGCCCGCCACCACACCACCACCACGCACGCCACCACACCACCACCACGCACGCCACCACACACCACCACCACGCCCGCCACCACACCACCACCACGCCCGCCATCACACCACCACCACGCCCGCCACCACACCACCACCACGCACGCCACCACACCACCACCACGCACGCCACCACACCACCACCACGCACGCCACCACACCACCACCACGCACGCCACCACACCACCACCACGCACGCCACCACACCACGCCCGCCACCACACCACCACCACGCCCGCCATCACACCACCACCACCACACCACCACCACGCACGCCACACACCACCACCACCACACCACCACCACCACACCACCACCACGCACGCCACCACACCACCACCACGCACGCCACCACACCACCACCACGCACGCCACCACCACCACGCCCTCCACCACACCACCACCACGCCCGCCATCACACCACCACCACCACACCACCACCACGCACGCCACCACACCACCACCACCACACCACCACCACGCCCGCCACCACACCACCACCACTCCCGCCACCACACCACCACCACGCCCGCCACCACACCACCACCACGCCCGCCACCACACCACCACCACCACGCCCTCCACCACACCACCACCACCACACCACCACCACTCACTCCACCACCACCACACACCACCACGCACTCCACCACACCACCACCACTCACTCCACCACACCACCACCACCACACCACCACCACGCACTCCACCACACCACCACCACACCACCACCACGCACGCCACCACACCACCACCACGCACGCCACCACACCACCACCACCACACCACCACCACGCACGCACCACACCACCACCACCACACCACCCACCACGCACGCCACCACACCACCACCACTCACTCCACCACACCACCACCACCACACCACCACCACGCACGCCACCACACCACCACCACGCACGCCACCACACCACCACCACCACACCACCACCACCACACACTCACCACACCACCACCACCACCACACCACCACCACGCCCTCCACCACACCACCACCACTCCCTCCACCACACCACCACCACTCACTCCACCACACCACCACCACGCACACCACCACACCACCACCACTCACTCCACCACACCACCACACCACCACCACGCACTCCACCACACCACCACCACCACCACACCACCACCACTCCCTCCACCACACCACCACCACGCACGCCACCACACCACCACCACCACCACGCCCGCCACCACACCACCACCACACCACCACCACGCCCGCCACCACACCACCACCCTCGAGATACCGTCAGTAGACAAGGGCAGCATCTTTCAATTGAGAAGACTAGAAGACACAGACGGAAGTCAAGGAATGTAAGGAAGTTCTGGTACTGTGAACCTTCGGTCAACACGCGGAGTGTACTGAGGGAAGAAGTTCTGGAAGCCACCTCCATCCACAACTTTATGGACACATTCGACAAAGATTTCGAACGCCAGAATAGTTCATTTATAACGCAGCGAGTACAACGTTGGCGAGGCATAGAGCTAGACCTCTACCCCCTCCATACCCACCCACCCACACATCACACCATCACCATACCCATTCAACCTTCTGGGTTGAGTGTTCAACAAACCCCTGAACTATATGTTTAACACTTCTCTAACCCTGTCCATGGAGGACAGAAGAAAATGTATATATGCTGATTAGCATTGTAAATGTGTGGCCACGTCTGTGGTAGAAAAAAAAAAAAACATACCCACCCACACACCACACCACCACCATACCCACCCACACACCACTAACACACCTACCCACACACCACTATCACACCTACCCACACACCACTATCACACCTACCCATACACCACTATCACACCTACCCACACACCACTAACACACCTACCCGCACATCATTCACATACCTACCCACACACCACTAACACACCTACCCACACACCACCAACACACATACCCGCACATCATTCACATACCTACCCACACACCACTAACACACCTACCCACACACCTACCCACACACCACTATCACACCTACCCACACACCACTAACACACCTACCCGCACATCATTCACATACCTACCCACACACCACTAACACACCTACCCACACACCACTAACACACCTACCCGCACATCATTCACATACCTACCCACACACCACTAACACACCTACCCACACACCACTATCACACCTACCCACACACCACTAACACACCTACCCACACACCACTATCAAACACCAGCACACATACTACCACCACAATCACCAACACACAGACCACCACCACAATCACCAGCACACAGACCACCACCACAATCACCAGCACACAGACCACCACCACAATCACCAGCACACAAACCAAAACCACAATCACCAGCACACAAACCAAAACCACAATCACCAGCACACAAACCACCACCACAATCACCAGCACACAGACCACCACCACAATCACCAGCACACAAATCACCACCACAATCACCAGCACACAGACCACCACCACAATCACCAGCACACAAACCACCACCACAATCACCAGCACACAGACCACCACCACAATCACCAGCACACAAACCACCACCACAATCACCAGCACACAAACCACCACCACAATCACCAGCACACAAACCACCACCACGATCACCAGCACACAAATCACCAGCACACAGACCACCACCACAATCACCAGCACACAAATCACCACAATCACCATCACACAGACCACCACCACAATCACCAGCACACAGACCACCACCACAATCACCAGCACACAGACCACCACCACAATCACCAGCACACAGTCCACCACCACAATCACCATCACACAGACCACCACCACAATCACCAGCACACAGACCACCACCACAATCACCAGCACACAGACCACCACCACAATCACCAGCACACAGACCACCACCACAATCACCAGCACACAGACCACCACCACAATCACCAGCACACAGACCACCACCACAATCACCAGCACACAGACCACCACCACAATCACCAGCACACAGACCACCACCACAATCACCAGCACACAGACCACCACCACAATCACCAGCACACAGACCACCACCACAATCACCAGCACACAAACCACCACCACAATCACCAGCACACAAACCACCACCACGATCACCAGCACACAAATCACCACAATCACCAGCACACAAATCACCACAATCACCAGCACACAGACCACCACCACAATCACCAGCACACAAATCACCAGCACACAGACCACCACCACAATCACCAGCATACAACAAAGCTAACTCTCACAGACTAGTGACTACAATCGCGAGGACAAACCACCACCATATCCGCCCACATTTATACCACATCAGGTTGTACACACCAGAACCACCTCGACATAACCATACCAACTCCGACCCCACACCACCACACCCGCCACTACAACACCACAACCATCACCCACATAACAAATCCACCTCCCCACCCCCACACTACAATAATTATAGACGAGGAACAACACATTTTGTCAATGTAATCACAAGCCCCTCCCTCCCCCCCCCCTCGCCACACCTCATCTTGACAGTCTTGCGTCACAACCATCATCCTCTCCCCCCCCCCCCCCTGCTGGCCCAGACACACCTTGCCTAGTATACCTTTCTCAAGACTAATTCCGGCCCCACAGAGTTACAGGGCCTGGCTCCCTCGCTCTCAACACTGAAGGGATGTGGGGAGGCGGTGGTCACGTGTGTCAACCACTTTCTTTCCTCCTCCCAGAAATCAGTAATTTCCAGGAAGTTAAGGTTATATTGAGGAAGTCAACAATGGTTGGTAAGCATCAGACTCCAGGATCTGCGGAGCGGGAAGGCAACTCTGGCTAAAGTAAGCGTCAAGAAAACTAGGTGCAGCATCAATGTCTCACCAGTCACATTGAAGGTGGGTGGGCGTGTGCAGGTGGGTGGGTGGTCAAGTACATGCTGGCATGAGCTAAGTGTTGGTCACTACCCCCATATACACACACATACACACGCACAAAACCTACCTTGCTTCCAGTGAGCGGTGTGCTCTCTCACATCTCGCAAGGCTCGCAAATTTCACCGTATTTAATCATTCACGTCACTGGCACCATGGGTGCATCACCACCTCCGCCCCCCCACCCCCCGCTCCAACACCCATCTAACCCTCACTACTTTCTATCCATCATCACTGATTGCACAGTTCTAACGTCTCCACAATACTAACATCTTCCTGGCTTGTGATCACAGTATCCCACGGGCCTCAAGCGGCCGTAGACCAGCAGCCACAGCCTAGCGGATCAGCGTGCCTCTCAGCTCGACAAAGCACGTCTCCCAGCGCCACAAAGCACCTACCTCTGCGTGCGGTCGGCAACGTCCAGCAAATAGGACATGAACTCCCCGTCGTTACCGAATCCGATCCGTCGCTTCATATCGGGAGTAAGTCCAGTGTGGCGGGTGTGGCGTTATAGTGAGGCTGGAGTGTGGTGGTGTGGGTCTCCTGCCGGCGGGTCTCGGCGGCCCTGCTGGGCATCACACTGGCACCATCGTCACTGGCCAGGCCCCCGCCTGCTCCGCCTGCTCCTTCGTCGTGTCGGCGCACCCGGGGCCGCCAGCTGCCTGGCTATTGATCACCTGACCGTCCCGACGCGCGCACCCGCCGCCGCTCCTCCTGGCCCTCCAAGCCGCTACCCCAGCCACGCCGCCTCCACTACTCCAGCCACGCCGCCTCCACTACTCCTGCCGCTACTCCAGCCACGCCGCCTCCACTACTCCAGCCACGCCGCCTCCACTACTCCAGCCACGCCGCCTCCACTACCCCTGCCGCTACTCCAGCCACGCCGCCTCCACTACCCCTGCCGCTACTCCAGCCACGCCGCCTCCACTACCCCTGCCGCTACTCCAGCCACGCCGCCTCCACTACCCCTGCCGCTACTCCAGCCACGCCGCCTCCACTACCCCTGCCGCTACTCCAGCCACGCCGCCTCCACTACCCCTGCCGCTACTCCAGCCACGCCGCCTCCACTACCCCTGCCGCTACTCCTGCCACGCCGCCTCCACTACCCCTGCCGCTACTCCAGCCACGCCGCCTCCACTACCCCTGCCGCTACTCCAGCCACGCCGCCTCCACTACCCCTGCCGCTACTCCAGCCACGCCGCCTCCACTACCCCTGCCGCTACGCCAGCCACGCCGCCTCCACTACCCCTGCCGCTACTCCAGCCACGCCGCCTCCACTACCCCTGCCGCTACTCCAGCCACGCCGCCTCCACTACCCCTGCCGCTACTCCAGCCACGCCGCCTCCACTACCCCTGCCGCTACTCCAGCCACGCCGCCTCCACTACCCCTGCCGCTACTCCAGCCACGCCGCCTCCACTACCCCTGCCGCTACTCCTGCCACTCCGCCGCCACTACACCTGCCGCTTCTCCTGCCACGCCGCTTCCACTACTCCTGCCGCTACTCCAGCCACGCAGCCTCCACTACCCCTGCCGCTACTCCATCCACGCTACATCCACTACCCCTGCCGCTACCCCCGCCACGCCGCTTCCACTACCCTTGCCGCTACTCCAGCAACGCCGCCTCCACTACCCCTGCCGCTACTCCAGCAACGCCGCCTCCACTACCCCTGCCGCTACTCGAGCTACGCCGCCTCCACTACCCCTGCCGCTACTCCTGCCACGCCGCCTCCACTACCCCTGCTGCTACTCCAGCCACGCCGCCTCCACTACCCCTGCCGCTACTCCAGCCACGCCGCCTCCACTACCCCTGCCGCTACTCCAGCCACGCCGCCTCCACTACCCCTGCCGCTACTCCAGCCACGCCACCTCCACTACCCCTGCCGCTACTCCTGCCACGCCGCCTCCACTACCCCTGCCGCTACTCCTGCCACGCCGCCTCCACTACCCCTGCCGCTACTCCAGCCACGCCGCCGCCACTACCCCTGCCGCTACTCCAGCCACGCCACCTCCACTACCCCTGCCGCTACTCCAGCCACGCCGCCTCCACTACCCCTGCCGCTACCCCAGCCACGCCGCCTCCACTACTCCTGCCGCTACCCCAGCCACGCCACCTCCACTACTCCTGCCGCTACTCCAGCCACGCCACCTCCACTACTCCTGCCGCTACTGCAGCCACGCCGCCTCCACTACTCTTGCCGCTACTCCAGCCACGCCGCCTCCACTACCCCTGCCGCTACTCCAGCCACGCCGCCGCCACTACTCCAGCCGCTACTCCAGCCACGCCGCCTCCACTACTCCTGCCGCAAGTCCAGCCACGCCGACGCCACTACTCCTGCCGCTACTCCAGCCACGCGCCGCTCTCCACTACCCAGCCACGCCGCTACTCCCCCTGCCGCTACGCCGCCGCCTCCACTACCCCTGCCGCTTCTCCAGACACGCCGCCACCACTACCCCTGCCGCTACTCCTGCCACGCCGCCTCCACTACCCCTGCCGCTACTCCATCCACATCGCCGCCACTACTCCTGCCGCTACTCCAGCCACGCCGCCTCCACTACCCCTGCCGCTACTCCAGCCACGCCACCTCCACTACCCCTGCCGCTACTCCTGCCACGCCGCCTCCACTACCCCTGCCGCTACTCCTGCCACGCCGCCTCCACTACCCCTGCCGCTACTCCTGCCACGCCGCCTCCACACACCCCTGCCGCTACTCCAGCCACGCCGCCTCCACTACCCCTGCCGCTACTCCAGCCACATCGCCGCCACTACTTCTGCCGCTACTCCAGCCACGCCACCTCCACTACCCCAGCCGCTACTCCAGCCACGCCACCTCCACTACCCCTGCCGCTACTCCAGCCACGCCGCCTCCACTACTCCTGCCGCTACCCCAGCCACGCCGCCTCCACTACCCCTGCCGCTACTCCAGCCACGCCACCTCCACTACCCCTGCCGCTACTCCTGCCACGCCGCCTCCATTACCCCTGCCGCTACTGCAGCCACGCCGCCGCCACTACTGCCGCTACTCCAGCCACGCCGTCTCCACTACTCCAGCCACGCCGCCTCCACTACCCCTGCCGCTACTCCAGCCACGCCGCCTCCACTACCCCTGCCGCTACTCCAGCCACGCCGCCTCCACTACCCCTGCCGCTACTCCAGCCACGCCGCCTCCACTACCCCTGCCGCTACTCCAGCCACGCCGCCTCCACTACCCCTGCCTCTACTCCAGCCACGCCGCCTCCACTACCCCTGCCGCTACTCCAGCCACGCCGCCTCCACTACCCCTGCCGCTACTCCTGCCACTCCGCCGCCACTACACCTGCCGCTTCTCCTGCCACGCCGCTTCCACTACTCCTGCCGCTACTCCAGCCACGCAGCCTCCACTACCCCTGCCGCTACTCCATCCACGCTACATCCACTACCCCTGCCGCTACCCCCGCCACGCCGCTTCCACTACCCTTGCCGCTACTCCAGCAACGCCGCCTCCACTACCCCTGCCGCTACTCCAGCCACGCCGCCTCCACTACCCCTGCCGCTACTCGAGCTACGCCGCCTCCACTACCCCTGCCGCTACTCCTGCCACGCCGCCTCCACTACCCCTGCTACTACTCCAGCCACGCCGCCTCCACTACCCCTGCCGCTACTCCAGCCACGCCGCCTCCACTACCCCTGCCGCTACTCCAGCCACGCCGCCTCCACTACCCCTGCCGCTACTCCAGCCACGCCACCTCCACTACCCCTGCCGCTACTCCAGCCACGCCTCCTCCACTACCCCTGCCGCTACTCCTGCCACGCCGCCTCCACTACCCCTGCCGCTACTCCTGCCACACCGCCTCCACTACTCCTGCCGCTACTCCAGCCACGCCGCCGCCACTACCCCTGCCGCTACTCCAGCCACGCCACCTCCACTACCCCTGCCGCTACTCCAGCCACGCCGCCTCCACTACCCCTGCCGCTACCCCAGCCACGCCGCCTCCACTACTCCTGCCGCTACCCCAGCCACGCCACCTCCACTACTCTTGCCGCTACTCCAGCCACGCCGCCTCCATTACCCCTGCCGCTACTGCAGCCACGCCGCCGCCACTACTGCCGCTACTCCAGCCACGCCGTCTCCACTACTCCAGCCACGCCGCCTCCACTACCCCTGCCGCTACTCCAGCCACGCCGCCGCCACTACTCCAGCCGCTACTCCATCCACGCCGCCTCCACTACTCCTGCCGCAAGTCCAGCCACGCCGACGCCACTACTCCTGCCGCTACTCCAGCCACGCCGCCTCCACTACTCCTGCCGCTACTCCAGCCACGCCGCCTCCACTACCCCTGCCGCTACTCCTGCCACGCCGCCTCCACTACCCCTGCCGCTTCTCCAGACACGCCGCCTCCACTACCCCTGCCGCTACTCCTGCCACGCCGCCTCCACTACTCCTGCCGCCTCCACTACCCCTGCCGCTACTCCAGCCACATCGCCGCCACTACTCCTGCCGCTACTCCAGCCACGCCGCCTCCACTACCCCTGCCGCTACTCCAGCCACGCCACCTCCACTACCCCTGCCGCTACTCCTGCCACGCCGCCTCCACACACCCCTGCCGCTACTCCAGCCACGCCGCCTCCACTACCCCTGCCGCTACTCCAGCCACATCGCCGCCACTACTTCTGCCGCTACTCCAGCCACGCCACCTCCACTACCCCTGCCGCTACTCCTGCCACGCCGCCTCCATTACCCCTGCCGCTACTGCAGCCACGCCGCCGCCACTACTGCCGCTACTCCAACCACGCCGTCTCCACTACTCCAGCCACGCCGCCTCCACTACCCCTGCCGCTACTCCAACCACGCCGCCTCCACTACCCCTGCCACTACTCCTGCCACGCCGCCTCCACTACTCCTGCCGCCTCCACTACCCCTGCCGCTACTCCAGCCACATCGCCGCCACTACTCCTGCCGCTACTCCAGCCACGCCGCCTCCACTACCCCTGCCGCTACTCCTGCCACGCCGCCTCCACTACCCCTGCCGCTACTCCTGCCACGCTGCCTCCACTACCCCTGCCGCTACTCCAGCCACGCCGCCTCCACTACCCCTGCCGCTACTCCTGCCACGCCGCCTCCACACACCCCTGCCGCTACTCCAGCCACGCCGCCTCCACTACCCCTGCCGCTACTCCAGCCACGCCGCCTCCACTACCCCTGCCGCTACTCGAGCTACGCCGCCTCCACTACCCCTGCCGCTACTCCTGCCACGCCGCCTCCACTACCCCTGCTACTACTCCACCCACGCCGCCTCCACTACCCCTGCCGCTACTCCAGCCACGCCGCCTCCACTACCCCTGCCGCTACTCCAGCCACGCCGCCTCCACTACCCCTGCCGCTACTCCAGCCACGCCACCTCCACTACCCCTGCCGCTACTCCAGCCACGCCACCTCCACTACCCCTGCCGCTACTCCTGCCACGCCGCCTCCACTACCCCTGCCGCTACTCCTGCCACACCGCCTCCACTACTCCTGCCGCTACTCCAGCCACGCCGCCGCCACTACCCCTGCCGCTACTCCAGCCACGCCACCTCCACTACCCCTGCCGCTACTCCAGCCACGCCGCCTCCACTACCCCTGCCGCTACCCCAGCCACGCCGCCTCC